TAACCCTGCATCTTGGACAGCATCAGTTAGAGCAGCAACAACAATTTGCAGTTCACTTTCTGTGGCCATGGTAATTAATATGTCATCCATATAATGATATATGATGGCTGAGGGAAAACGCCTTCTAATGGGATGAATAGTGTTTGCCACTACCGTTTGACATACTGTCAGACTATTTTTCATCCCCTGAGGAAGCACAACCCAGTGATACCTTTGCATGGGCTGTGCATTGTTCAAGGCAGGGATGGAAAAAGTAAACCTTGGTGCATCCTCAGGATGTAGGAAGATGGTAAAAAAGCAGTCCTTTAAGTCAATTACCATTAGTGCCCACTGCTGGAAGCATAGCAGGTGAAGGAAGTCCAGGTTGCAATGCTCCCATAGGCTCTATGACTGCGTTTACTGCCCGTAAGTCCTCCAGCATTCTCCACCTGCCACTTTTCTTGGGGATGCAAAACACAGGAGTATTCCAGGGACTGGTTGTTGGCACAGTATGACCTGCTTCAAGCTGTTCCCTTGCAAGCTCTCTTAGATGTACTAGCCGTTCCTTTTTCATGGACCATTGATCTACCCAAACTGGCTGTTGGCTTTTCCAGACCAGTTTAATTGGTCCTTGGGACGGCTGGTCAATGGCCCCTATTGAAAAACCTGGCTGCTTGCAGGAGCAATTTGCATTACTGTGCCAAACTGTCCAAGAACATCCCGTCCCCATAGTGTACACGGAATGGGAGCAACAAAGGGAGCTATTTTGGCTAATTGTCCTTCTGGTCCCAAGACAGTGCGGATTTGAGCACTCTGTCTGGGCCTTTGTGTGCCTCCCACCCCTTGAATGGTTGCAGCTGGGCTAACAGTGGGCCAGTTAAGTGGCCATTTGGAGTCTTTTATGATGGTAACATCAGCTCCCGTGTCCACAAGGCCTGTAATTCTGTGCCCATCAATTTGGCACGTCATGCACAGCTGTGTGGCTGTGATGGCTGTTGCCCAGTAAATTTGTGGTTGGTCTGTGTTCCCGAAGGCCCCTGAACCCCGCTCCCCCTCCCCCGCAGGCGACGCACTGTAGAAGGGGATTAGTTGGGTGATTTTTTGTCCCTTAAGGATGAAACAAGGGGGTGAAGGGGTCCAGGCCGTTATTTGAATTTCACTATGAGAGTCAGAGTCTATTACTCCAGGCAGCACAAATAAACCCATTTTGGTGGTGGAAGGTCTCCCAATTAGTAGTGCATGCACCCCTGGGCTAAAGGGACCCCAAAGCCCGGTTGGGATTAGTACTACATCTGTGGAAGTTATGATGACTGGTTCTCGGTTGGATAAATCCAACCCAGAGCTGGCTGAGGTGGAGGGGCACAAATCTCAAGCCTGTTCCCGTGAGTTGCATTTATTTGTTGTACCGGGGCGGGTGACAACGCCCCTCGCTTCCAGTTTTTTGGCCCCCTCCTCCCGTTTGGGTACTTGTGGGATGCTGTTGCAGAGGGTCTCTTTGGGCAATCTTTTTGAAAGTGGTCAGGGGCACCACATATATAGCAACCACTTTTGGGTCTGGCTCCTTCCTGCACTCTTAGCTGGGCACTCAGTGCTGTGGCTAGAGAGGCAGACTGATGTCCCACAGAGCCAACCCCTTGGCAGGCGCGAACCAGCTCAGCAATGCTACAGCTCTCCCTTTTAGGAAGGGCCTGCAAAGCTCTTTTACAGTCTGGATTCGCGTTCTCAAAAGCCAGTTGCCTGTAGAGCATCTCTCTGGCTTTGTCATGCTCAACCTGCCTGTTTAAAACAGATTGCAGCCGATCCAGGAATTGAGAGTATGCTTCAGTAGAACCTTGTAATACTTTTGTGAATGACAGGTTGCTATCCCGGTCTGAAGTGGGCAATTTCCTCATGGCTCTCAGGGCATGTTTGGCTATCACTTCATATATTTCTCTGGGGTAACCAGACTGAGCATCTACTGAGCTGTAGTTCCCCTCCCCGGTTATTTGGTGTGTTGTTATGCCTGCTTGTGGGTTGTTAGCATACACAGAGCAATTCTCCCAAAAATCGGTTAACCAGACGCTGTACTGAGTATTCGTAAGAGTTACTTTCAGTAAGGTCTTCCAATCGTGTGGTGTAAAAACATAGGTGGAACTCAGTGTCTCTAAATACGCAAGGGTATTAGCCGAGGACACGCCAGTTTCCCTTACCAATTGCCTCAATTCCTTTGTCAGTTCATATGGCAGAGGCTGGAATTGAGGGGGCTGACACTGGCAGAAAATGATTGGGCATGCTTGTATAACTTGCAAGTCTCCCACTCGAAATGTCTCCTCCTGACACAGTTCCCACCTGTCAACTGATCTTCCCCTGTTTGCCTCCTCTCTCCCTCCTGGTGGAACCATCCCTGGTCCCTCCTCCTCATCCCCCCATGCCGCACCCCCTGTGGCCCCAGTAAACCTGGTTCCCTGTGGGGGGGTGGTGGTGGGTGATGGACACAGCACGGGGGAGGGGCCCTCCCCCCCCCATGCCGGCGGCTGGAGCGGGGTGGCACTGGGGCCTGAAGAGACGGATCAACTTCCAGTCCGTTTGGCGCAAAATATGGTTGCGCCCATGCCGGCGCACGTGGTCGCTGATCATCTACGGTGCGAGGTGGCAAATAGGCTGGGATACCCCCCTCATCGCTGCAACGGGGCCCCCTACGCTGATCCCATGGGCTGGGATCCCGCATTACAGGTTCCGTTCCCTCCCGGAGACCCGTGTTCCAATGGCTACCGGCACCCGACCCGTAACTTAACTCACGAGTGTTTCCCTCCCCTCCCTGTAAACCCCTTGCATTTCTGTTTCTACGCATAGGATTCGGGTTGCGACTAGCAGTGTGGGTGGGGGGTGGTGTGTTGGTGTGGGATGCTTGTACTGTCCGCTCGTGGGCTCTGTGTAATGCAGACATTATGATTTTCCAGGCTGAAATGGCGTTATTAGCTTGGGGGTCTCCTCCCTGAGCTTTCAGTTTCATGAGGTTTCCAATCTTGTCCCATATTTCTATGTGCAGAGCTTCTACAAGTGGCAGTTCAGGCACTGCCACTTTAATGAACTGTACAAGCTCTGTTAATTCAGCCCTTGTGGCTTGTATATGGTAAGGTCTTAGCAGGATATACAATGCGTCTGTGTCTTGTGAAATCTCGGTAGAGAAAAAGCTTTCCATGTTTTTTTACCTTGCTCTTGCCGCTGTCGGTGCACGTGTGCGGAGGGGTCCTTTGTTTAGCGACTGCTGAGTTTTACTTTCGGTTTCTGGATTGGCTGTTCTCTCGCGGCTTTTTTCTTTTCAGCATCTCTGGCAGCGTCTGCTGCTGTCCGGGTCTCTGCAGTTGCTGCTCCGACGGTTTGAGGGTGGCGGCAGATGGCAGGGGGATCTCCCAGCGCAGTAGGTCCTGCAGCGGCGGTGGTGGTACGTGAGGTTCCCTTACGGTCTGCGGCGCTTCTGACGGCTGGTTCAGCGGCGCAGATGCTGCATGGCACGCACGGGCCAGCAGAAGGCGGTTGCAGGCTCCCACGGTCCGCTGGGTGGGGCGGGGGCTCAGGCACGGTGGCGGGTTTTCGCGGTGCGGCTGCTACAGGTCCCGCGCGGCTTCTAGCGTGGGCGCAGGGCTCGTGAGCGAATGCGGGCAGGCAGCAGGCTGCACAGAGCTGTGGTTCTTCTCCGCTTGGCAGAAAAGTGTGCCGGTGCGGGGTTCGTGGGGTCTCACGGGTGGGCTGGGGGTGTTCGGGCAGCAGCGGCGCCGCTTTCGCACGCTAGGTGCTTAGCGCATGGCAAGCGGTGGCGGCAGGGGCTCCCGGGGGGTTCCGCATGCTCCGCCGCTTGAGTTTTCTAGCTGCAGGCTCGCAGACACTCAGGGAGCAGCCCCGACCACGGTGTTGGTTGCTGAGGCTGCTTTTCAGTTCCACTCACCGCTCAGATGGTTGGTTGACCCTACTCTGCTTTCTCCACAGTTGCTGTCCTGGTTTCTCGGCTTCTTCTTCTTCTTTTCTTCTTTTTTCTTCTTCTCTGTTCCTGTGCACTTTTCCTAATATTTTTTGAGCTCTCTATACTAACTTGCATTTCTCAGTATCGGCTGAGACAACGGATTAAAGACGTCTAAGTTTTTCGGTGAAAAATTCACGTATTCCAAAATGACTACGATAACCAGAATTTACCGATGTTCCCCTGATTCAGGGAGTTCTATTCTAGCCTAATGTAGGTTCTAAGTCCCTGTGTTAGGGTGCCACGTGTTGCGTTGGGTCTTTATATAATAAAGAAATGGAGTCTGCTCAGGTGGTGATCAGAGAGAGTTTATTTCAAACTCGGCGCTCCTTTTATCCCTTAAAACCATGTGACCTTGTGACCAATGAGGTTATCGATTCCGGTGCATGTCCCCTGGGCTTCCCTGCCCTGGGTGCCTCCCCTGCACCCCTGGACATGCCTCCTACAATCCACCTCTAACAGCGCTTGGTAAATATTGTTCACTGATGTTCACACCATGTACAACCACCCAAACCAATGCATATCTGGCTTCTGTCATTGCATACCTAGCACAGGCTCTCAGCATGAGCAGTTTTGCTTCTCCCAATTCACTCTGTCAGCTATTTAATCCTCTTCCCTACAACACCATCCTTGGGCTGCAGCACATAACCAAGAAGCCCAGCTACACAAAGATCCCTCATCCCAGCTATGTCTCATACTTCCAAGTCAGCTTTGATGCTCCAAATAGGTTGCTTGCACAGGTGACAACAAGAAGCTCTTCAGCATAAAATGGGACACTCCATATTTTTTTCCCCTTTATCACAGAGCAATAAGCTCCTGGTCAAAGCATCCATCCTCACAATGGGATGTTGCTCATCTCCTATGGTTTCAGTGGGAATGAGCTTTCAGATGCCAAGCAGAGGGACGTCTCCCCTTTTACAGGAGAGGGAAAGTTGGCAGCACAGGCAGGATCCACGCTGATGGATGAGGCAGTACAAGAAAAAAAGCAAGGGTTTGGTGAGGAAGAGCTAAACACAACCCCTACCTGACTGTGTTCATGACACAACGAGCCCTTCCCTTGGGATGGGGAACAGCTGCCAACAAGCTGCTTGCCACAATCTGCTGTCCACTGTAATAGGGATAAAAAAGGGATTGTGTAAAGTAATAGTCAGGTTGGGGAAAGCTGCTGTGCCAGTCCACAGTGCACAGCAAGCACCATCCAGCTGAGGGCATCACAGTATGTGTGCAGCACTCCCTCATTTTTGAGGATGATCCCAAAAGCTTTGGCTTGGAAACTCTCCACCTGCCGACAGCAAGCAGAGGGAAGATGTAGAAACAATTGCAGGAAGGCACCTAAAATGATGCTTTGCAATAAAATCCATCCCCAGTATTTCCTTGAAGACTCCATCAGTGTTTGGTATCTCAGGCATATGGTATGCACCAAGGTGCCTTGACTAGATTATTCTTTTCTATGGAGTCTTCCATGAAAAGTTGGGAAATTTCTGCTTTTCCCAACTCCATTCACTTCAGGGACAGATATGAGCCCTGAGCTGCCAAAAAACCTGTTTTTATTTTAAACAAAACAGAAAATGGAGCTCAAAGTTGCAGGTTTGTCCACTACTGTATGCAGCAACTGTGATGTGCCACCTGGATGGTAGCGCTACTCTCACACCGTCTTCGCCCCATGGTGAAGGACATGGGCATCAGGGGACTTCCTGGCCATAGGGGATCATAAGCTGCTTAGGACAGCTTCCCCCAAGGTGCCTCCAACCAAAATAATTCAGTTTGGGGTAATTTGGTTTTGGGGTGTTTTTTTCCCTCAAAGAGATGAAGGGCTGCATCATACTGGGGAAAAAAATAATATTTTCAGTAGACAAATATGAAAGATGATGCTTAATCCTAAAGTCATTTTGTCAACCCTGCCAACAAAGTTGAGACTGAACCTCGGTGACCAGCCCCATTTCCAAGGTCTTTCATCCTGGAAGTGTTTGGCTGCTCCAGAGAGACTCACTGCTTGGATGCCATCACCAAGGCCGATGCATCTAGAAAATGAAAAGTCAATTCCATACAATCAGCAACCACCCGAGAGCTCCTTGACAGGTATGGATGAGGCCACAAAATAAGAGGAGGAGCCACCAATAGAACTGCCCATGATTCCTAGACAGCTCTGCCCTCATTGGAGAGCTCATTTTAGCTCATAGATGGGGGACCTCAGCTTCCTCTCATTAAAGAGCTGCTCATCACTCTCCTGCCACCTCTGCTGACCTACCTGGAGAAGCTCATGATGCTATCATGCTTGAAAGCCTTTTGCTAGACCTGTGCCTATCTCCTTTAACAATTTTGAGTGCAACCATGTGCCTGGGAAGATCTCCCAAGGTACAGTTCAACTATTATTATGTCTACAGCCAAAAGAAAATTGCATTTTTCCTCTGACTTTCCTCTTTTTCCTGGTGGAAGCAAGGTTGGAGACATCTCAACCATGGGAACATCCACACTTTGGAATTCTCTAGACTAGTGATGAATTCAGCCCCTCTGTGAGTGGTGTGGAGGATGAAGCAGTATAAAATGAGCCTTTCCTTCCTTCCCCTAGCACGGAGAGCAGTTATCCAGGGATGTGGTACCATCTGCGCATCTCACACACATGGGTGCGTGGATTTATCCTCTCTCAGGCAGGAAAAACATTATTACAGCCACAAAGAAATGAACTGCAGAGAGATTAAGTAACTTGCCAAACATTAAAGATTAAGTTGTCAGCAGAACCTCACAGTTAAAAACAATTTTCTTGGTCTCAGTCCAGTGCCTTCCCCCTAAACCCATTCTTTTTCCTCTGGCTCTTGTGAAGAGGCAACATGCCACCTTCAATCAGGTTGACTTCTACCAGGGTTACTTCAGCAAGCTTCAGGATATGCAAGTGTTTATTCCTTGCTTTGCTAAGAAGTGATCAGGAGGAAAAAACCAGAAATTAAAATTCCTGCTTATTTCTTAAACAAATTTGGGATATGAGGTGGGAAAAAAATACCTTTGGGAAACGAGAGATAATTCCTTCTTAATACATCCTTTAAGACAGTGAACTGTAGTGACTGCAGGAACTTCATGGTTGCATGAAACACGTATAGGACAGTTGAGTCTGCAGGATGCTCTTCTTGTGCAAAGATTTGGTTTAACTTGGATCAATCAATCAGTGAAGTACTTATGTCCTGAAGGACTTTATGTATTCATAGAATCACAGAATCCTGTGGGAGGCGACTGGGCTGTGGACAGCTTGGGCCTTGAGTTTGAGCAGTTGGAGCTACTAGGTTGTAAAGGAATGTAAACATTGAAGTGAGAAGAAGATAAACAAAGAAGACGGAACTACTGAGCCACAGAGGCAGCCAGACATCCTAAACTGTCTGCTGAGTCACCATGAGATGCAGAAGCTATAGAGCAGCCAATCTTGACATGTTTATGTAGTAAGGGCACCAATGGTAGTGAAACACGCTGGCTAGGGGAGACTATAAATTAACAACGTTTGTATGAAATAAAAGTGTTTCTGCGTGAAATCCCAGTGTGGTGTCCGTCCTGACAACAACAGAATCCTAGAATGGTTTTGGTTGGAAGGGACCTTCAAAGATGATCTAGTTCCAACCCCCTCGCCTTGGCCAGGAACACTTTTCACTAAACCAGGTTGCTCAAAGCCCCATCCAACCTGGCCTTGAACACTTCCAATGATGCACCTTGAGACCATAAAACACCATAACCCAGTTGGCAGGAGAGTTCTACTAGCTGGTTAGAGACCTCATATATATAGCTGTACAAGCAAGTTTCTCCAAATCCAGTGTTTTATTACATCTTGCTTCACATCCCAACCCTAGAAAAGCTGCTTCATCTGGACGTGCATCCCCAATCCAGGCTGTAAGCCATCAGCATCCCCCAGCCCCTCTCCCACCCCACAATGTTGCCCTTTGCCCACCTACCTGCAAGACATGGGACTGTGTCTTCTCGCTCTCGCCATCCCCCTCCACTTTATCCATCAGCAGCCCCTGAACCTGGTACTCCAGGACATAGCTGTCAATGAAATGCTCCAGCTCCTCAATCTCCTGAGAGTGGTTGCTCCCTGCCTCTGAGGAGGCTGATGCCACTGATGAGTTCTCCATCCCTTCAGGAGAGGCGTTGAGAACAGAGAGGGCCTGAGAAAGCAAAATAAAAAAGGGTAAGAAATTATTTCCCAGTAATTATAAAAAGGTTAAAAAAACAGCAGCCAAAGCTTATCAGTTTCCATGTACAGGATGCTTTTTGCTGTACATCTGCATTTCCAGTAACATTTATAATAATGCTAGGTGATCACATTTAGAGTTTTCATGAATGCAAAAAAAAGTCCCATTTCTGTAATATTCCTACATCTAAGGACAACAGACAGTTTCCCTGTCCTCCTTAAAACCCAAACTACTGAACGTCTCCAGACACATGCACAAGAAAAAAAATTAAAAAGCTTAATTTAAAAAACCCATGACATTAGCTGTGCTGGATAAGAGTGAGAAGATGGGGATAATGGACAAGGGTGTGAGGAAGAGGATGATAATTGAAAAGCTTCTCTAGGACAGCAGCAGTAAATGGTGCTGAGTCAATGGTGTGACTGTAAATGGTTGAAAGAGGAGATTTGCACATGGAGGTGAAACAGAGATCACACTAGAATCTAATTTTAAAACCTCTCTCTCTTCAGGAAAATGGCTCTATAGAAGATGTACAGACTTTATGATGCTCTTCTTCTTCTTTCTCTATGGCTCAATGACAATCACACCTTAAAGAAAAGGAACCATCAGCTGCTGAACCTGGGCTAGGCATCTCTCTGGTAACTAGCAATAGGATCCAAGGGAATGGCATGCAGCTCTGTCATGGGAGGTTTAGATTGGATATTAAGATTCTTCACCCAAATGGTGGTTGGGCACTGGAACAGGCTCCCCAGGGAAGTGGTCACAGCACCAAGCCTGCCAGAGTTCAAGAAGTGTTTGGAAAATGCTCTTAGGCACATGGTGTGATTCTTGGCATTGTCCTGTGCAGGACCAGGAGTTGGACTCGATCATCCTTGAGGGTTTCTTCCAACTCAGTATATTCTATGATTCAATGATTGCAAAGAACTAAGCTTTGGACCAGTGTCTTGTGGTAAGACTCATATTCCTTCTTTCCCTGTGGTTGGAAGGGGGAAGACATGGGAGCCCCCACCACACTGCAGGACATGACGACTTCATCACTCGCCCTCTTCTTCACCAGGAACTGGTATTTACAGTATGTTTTGAGACAAGTATAAAATTACCAAGAAAATTTGGAGTCAGTCACATGCCATCTGTAAGGGAAGGGGGAAAAAAAATCTATTCCCAGATTGTGTAATTCCCAGCTCCTCAACTATTTCTCAACTCTCACTTCCGAACAATTCATTTGGAAAGTGACGAGAATGAGCAGTTCTGGCCTAAAGGATTTCATCTCCTCAAAAAGGCTCATTATGTAGGTCAATATCACACATTAGCTTGTGAACAAAAATCATGTGGTATATTAAAAAGGAGAAAGAAATAAGAAAGACAGAGGAGTCACAGAGAGCATGGAGCCCTGGAGGAGGGCATGCTTCTCCCCTTTTAGCTAATTAGTGACAATTACCAAATGGAAAGGACAAATTATTAAACAGAAAGTGCTAAATAAAGAGTTGGGAGAATAGGAGGCTGCAAGGAGTCCTGGAGGGCACAATGACATGGGGAGGTGACCGCATGAGTTAGGGAACAGCTGATACAGGTGGCATCACTTGGGAAGGAGCGAGCAGAAACAGAGGATATCCTCCATCACCTGGGGCTACACAACACAAACCCCAATTTTTTTTTTTGCCTATCTTGTCTTTTTTTTAGGGTGGCACTGAAGAAATATCAAGCCCAGGGCATTGTCCTGGGGATGCTCCCCCTTGAACATCCGTGATAAAGCATAAAGCAGAGCAAGGGCTGACACATTACTCCACTTTTGGGGTGTTCACCATCGTGCCAACCAGCATTTTGCTGATTAGCAACATGAGAGATGGTGGACTGAAGGAATGGGTTTGTCAGAAGTCACCAGGTCCAGCAAATGAGCACAAACCATATAATTGAGATATTTATGGATCTCTAGTAGAAAACTCTAAAACCAAGTCATCTTGCAGTACCTTCACCTCTCTCTAAAGGAAACCAGAACTTAGCAGGGAGAAAAATCCTCTACGTTTAAGGGTCACGAGTTACTACATATAGACAGAATGAAATATTACACGGACTCCTGACTTGATGGGCAGAAATCAGCTTTATTCTTCCATGATTATTCACTTTTAGCTGGGAGTGGTTAAGCAAACCAAGACAGCACAGCTGCAAACCACACATCCATCACTCTCGCAGGCCGGCCTATCACGTACAGACACACCACACACACAAAAGCTGGAGCTCCAAGTAACTCCTTACACCCACATATGGCAAGAATGCAAACAGAATAGCTGAGCTCATTTCTGGGCAGTAAATCACAGAGAAAACAACACAAGGTCATCTTAGACATTTCCCAGGCTTTTCTGATTTTCTTCTTTTCTTGTTCCTACGCTTGGCCTGCTACAACTACATACACCTGAGATAGGATCATCATGGTACACAGAGATCCCTGGAGCAGATGTCCAGGCATGGACGAGTTGGTTGACATCTAACCCTTATAATAAGATAAAAGACTAGCAAGTCACAGTCTGTAATCATCTTTATATGCTTAGTCTGCACCAAGTTGGTGTGAATCACATGATGACACAGAAACTGGCCACCTGACATGGACATCCCAGAGTGCCAACTGTTCTGGGGCCACTGCCAATATGCCACCGTCACTCAACCCAGTATGTCAATAGAGAGGTTCAACAAGCAGAGGAACATTTTGACTTTGTGGCATCTCTGGGAACTCCCTGGTAGCAACCAGCTCTGGGTTTTCTGAATTTGTCCTTTGAATTCCCCTTCTGACCATGCTCCCTTCCTGTATCGGGGTTCATGGTTAGGACCACGTGTGTCTGATCACTACAGCAGCAAGGTAATGTCTGAACTTGATGCTGACCCTGCTTTGAGCAAGCAGTTGGACTAGAGAACTGAAGTCTTCTCCAACCTGAATGGTTTTGCAATTCCATGAGATGGAACTTGGGGATATGATTTGGTGGTTGTTATAGTTTAGCTACAACTGGGGAAAGAACTTTAGCAATGAATATTCATACCATTACGTCATCTGAAAGGAGGGGGGCCACCTCTCCCTCACAACTAGGGAAGCAGGGGGGAGAGGGGTTTGCACAAGTCATAGCTGTTCCCAGGCCTCCGGACCCACTGGAAAAGTGGTCTCTCCCATCGCCAGAGACAGAAGATATAAACTGAAGTGGTAACCGGAAATTCCTCTTTCTTGCTTCGGTCGCTGAAGGGCTGCAGACTCTCCGAGTCTTTGCTGGGGCCCCAGTCGTCCCACCATGACCCCTATCAAGCTCAGATTCTCTGCCTGGACTGTCGGTCTGATGTCATTTCATAATAAAGCCAGGGAAACCAGCACCACGCTGGAATAGGAGCACCCCAGAGGTCACCATTCTCTAGCAACATTTTCATGGCAGGGCTTTTTCAGATGCTATCTATTGATTTCCGGGTTCTACCTAAATCTACCAAGTGTGAGATGCATGTATATAAAATGTGCTTGAGAAAACAAAACCAAGATATTCACAGGTTTACAGAGGCCCATTTGCTGGGTCCTGCAAGCTGGTTCCTGGTTCAAGCAGTCTGGCCCTTCAAGAAGGACAGCTTATGGAGCAAAAATGATGGCACTTTTTCCTTGGCAGGTGGCACCTTAGGAAGGAAAGTATCCACCTAGATCCAGACCAATTCAAGTCCACATGGAAAAGTTTACTCTCCACACTAATGCTAAACCTTCTCTCCCTTTCCAAAATTTACCCTCTCCATTGGGAAGGTGGCGTGGGCTGGATAGTCTCCTGCTCTTCTTGGTGCTGCATATCAAGAAAACTCTGTGCCTGGAGCAGGTTTCCCATCTCACCTCGCCCTTAAAACATGTACAAACAAGAGGTTTTCAAAGAAAAACCCAAACCATGTTTGAACATCAAAGAAGTTGATGTCTTCCCAAACTGAGCAAATGCATGTTTTTGAGAGTTCTTCAGGGAGCGGTGATCCCTTGGATCTATGTTGGCATAGCGCCTACCACCAAGGATTCCCAGACCCCAGATACATTCCTTAATAATAATTGATAGAGATCAACCTCAAATCTATATTTTTTTCCTGTTTCTCCTCCTCTCCCTACTTTGTCAAAGTGCAAAGTTTTGGGGGTCTGAAAATTACCTTCCAAACCTTTCCTATGAAGCCCATGCCATGCTCATTCCTATGATCATAAAACAAGGAATCATAGGCAGAAAATGTTAATCGATGTGCAAACTGCTTATTATAACTTAACAATTGTCAGCATTACTGTAATGTATAATTATTATTAAAAGCTGTTATTAAGAGTGATCTAAATGAGGTTCTTGATCTAGCCAGATTATACAGTTTATGACAATTATACAGTTCTACCCTAATCAGCAAATAAACTCAATAACAAGCATTTTTTATTACATTTGTACATTCATTCCCTTTCCCCCAAAGGTGCTCCAGGCATGTTGACCTTGTGGAACCAAGTGGTGAGTCTGATAGGTGAAGAGCAGCAATGGAGAAGGAACCCATTTTGGGCAAGATCGGTGGGGGACAACAAGCCAGTGGAATTTGAAACCAAAATGATGTAAAAAAAGGTGAGTCCATGATGAGATGAAAGACATGAGGGACAGAAATGTATTTCCACCAGCTCACTGCAGTCTGGGTGAGAGGACCCCATACATATGTCCTCCCCCAGGGAATATGGTCCAGTCACCCTCTCTCCAGCACATCAAGACAAAGCTTCTCCAAAACCTGGACTGCAGCAGACACCAGCAGTGCCAAGGCAACACTGTAGGGCAGCCTCACACAGCTCTTCCCCTGTGGTGGGACCCACCTTTGTCTCAGCCATTTTAAGGGAGCAAGGACTCCAGCCCCATTCAAACATCATTCCCTGAAGTGAGGGGTTTTGATGAAAAACATGCTGACATGGCAATCTTGTCAGCAAGACTGCT